CAGGTAAGAAGGAAGAACTCTGTGGGGAAGGATGGGTGGAATGTTCTTGCTAGAAGATTCCATGGCAGTTGGTGGGCAGCCATCGGGTCTGGCAGGGGAACCAGGGGACAGAGGGAGATGACAAGTCAGGGCATGGGTCAGGAGTGGCATCCCTGGGCAGTGGAGAAAGGGATGGCTGTGTGTGTGCTCCTGGGGTACGGGATGGGGTAGCCGCCATACTGTAATAGGGAGATAACACTTTACAGCCTCTGTCAATGTTTCGTGCTCATAGAAGACTAAGGAAACTTCGATCATTGAAATCATAGATGGGCCGGGGAGAAAAAAAAAAGTAATGAGGATTCACTTAAACTAGTTGTTCGTCCCACATTTCTCAGGCAAATAGGAGTGGCGGGAATGGTTCGACAAGCCTGCAACTTTGATTTCTCTGTAGGTGGAGAGAGAAAGGACAAGAATGTAGAAAACCAGACGAGGGAAACAGGAGAAGCAGAGGCTACTGGGAAGATCCTTAAGGGAGAACGAGCCAGCTTTTGAAGGCTGAACTGGCTGTAACCGTTCAAAAATAAACAATAAAGCTTGGTTTGTAGCAACGAGTAAGGACCAACAGTCAGTCAAGGGTGGGACACTGACGTTCTTCTAGCTTCTGGACATCCAATACCTGCTGCACCATTCCTTTCACAGAAGGCCCCCAGAAGGAATCTAGAGCTTCCTAAGGGCAGAAACTGCAGTTATGCCTCCCACCCTTCCTCTGGTGCTCTTGCCCATCCTTGGGGATGGGTGCCCTAATGAATGAGATGGGGGCAACTACATGCAAAAGAGAAGGCCAAGGAGGGTTTCAGGAAGCAGGAATAGCAGGGAAGAAACAAGAGGGAAGGTGCTGACAAGGGAGACAGGGAAGGAGAAGTGAAATGGAGGTGGAGGAAGCTGGGCCTGGCAGAGATGGGAAGTCTGCAAGAAAGTATTAAAAGGATGCAGTCGTTTAGTCGGTCAACAAACATCTACTGCTCCCCTACCCTACAGCAAGCAGTGTGCTGCCGGGTGGGGTGAGGTGTGGGGTGAACAAGACAAACGTAGGGCTTTAAGGACTGGCATAAATGAGAAAGGAAGAGAACAAGAAGAGGCTGAGAGTAGCTGGAAACAAGAAAGGAAACATCAGAGAGAGACAGAGAAAGAACCTGCCCCCAGGCCCACGGTGGGTGAGACACAGCCAGAACCACCTGTGAGCCCTGGCTCCCTGAAGACCAAGGCAGGTAGGGGGGCCCGGGGAGAAATTCAGGACGCTGGGGGAGGGAAAGACAAAGAGGTGGAGGAGGGGGGAGGTGAGACTGTTCATAATTTTTCACTTGGGCGCCCACAGTGAAAAGACGGCTTTGGGCTGCAGAGACATTGGCTGCCTACCGGGTCACCCGAGGAACTAACTACTCCATATGGTCACTGGGGTCCCACCCCCTGGAGATTCTGATTTTCTCCATCTGGGATGTGTCCTGGACTTCAGAATTTATGACTAGCTCTCAAGTGAGTCGGAAGTGCGGCCAGGGAGAAAGTGGACATTGGAGGCTGCCCGCCAGGCCTCCTTCCGCCCATGAGGACGGGCGCCATCTTGAAAACAGCGACCCGTGGGAAGAGAAGTTGTATGGTGGTTTTGGGAGGTTGTAAGTGAGGCTCAAAGACTCTTGACGATCCTGACAAAAGTAAAAGGGGTTTCTGTCCTTAGAAAGTGCCCCCTTCCTCGGCTGTGCCTCTGGTAAAAAAGGAGGAAGAGAGCCTAGAAAGAAAGAAAAACACAAGGCAATGGCGGTCTTTAAAAGGGAAGAACAATTCAAGTAGCTCAAAACGGCTGCCAAGTTCTCTGTTTTTGCACCCTGTTCCCCCACCCACACGTATGCACCCTCCCCCCACCCACTTCTGCTGTCTTCATGATGGGGCCTCTGGGGTGAGAAGCACAGCTGCCCCAGCTTTTGTCCCACAAAAGGTTTGGCAGTGGCCCAGCAGGATATTCAACCTCACCGCCCCCCCCCAAACTCCCTGCACCCTAACATAGCTGAGTCACTGAACGGGGGTGGAGTCCTTGGCCTGACAGTGAAGCAATCTTAACTTGAAAAATGACATGGGAACGTACTGTATGGTCTACATAAACAAGTCCTAGGTAGATGTAATTGTATGCAAATATTCATTCTTTAACTCCACATATATTTCCTGCCAGTCCTCCTGTACAGGCTTCAAACCTTCCACTGCAACGCACAGTGCAGCAGGGAAATCAGAAGTGAAGGCGGAAGTGCGGGGTTAGCGAGTGAAGCCCCAGATCTGCTATGGCTCAGCAGGAGTTAGGTGCTCAGACTTTGAGCAGGGTCTTGAAGGATGTATAGGAATTTACCAGGAGAAAGGAAGAATAAAGTAGGAAGGGAAATAGAAGAAGTATTGAAGAAATGTGGAATTTTTCCTTGAGACAAAAGGATAGGATTTGTAGAAAGGGAGTAATAGGGAGGGGGAGGAAAGATCCAAAAATGAGTGTGAAAAATTTGGTTTGCCTTCCAGAAAGGAGTTTGGGCTTTTTATCCAGAAAGGCATAGGGAGGGGCACCTGGGTGGCTCAGTCGGTTAAGCATCTGCATCTGCCGTCTGCTCAGGTCATGATTCTAGGGTTCAGGATTGAGCCCCACGGATGGCTCCCTGCTCAGCAGGGTGTCTGCTTCTCCCTCTCCTCCCTGCTTGTGCTCTCTCTCAATATTTCTGCCCCCCTCTCTCCCAATAAATGAATAAAAATCTTTAAAAAAACCAAAGGCATAGGGAGCCAATGAAGAATTTTAAGTAGAGGAGTGATAGCTTCTAGAGCCTTGTTTTTCAAAGGCTAAGGCTGGGAGGAGTAGACTGAAGAGGATATTAACATTTATTCACCAATCCCGATGTACAGGGCATTGGCTCTGTATTTTATCACTCCAACCCTTTAGGACAGCGTTTTTCAATTGCTGGTCATGATCAAGAAAAAGCGGGCAGGCAGAAAAGGGAAGGAGGGAGGACGGGAAGAACAACAGGATAGAAAATATCAGCGCACCACCGGTAAGAAGGTTTAGTATTGTTTGCGGAAACTTTGTTATACATTCTCGCAGGAGTGTTAAGTGTACTGTATCAGGATTCAAATGCATTTCTCGCTGTGGCTTATGATTTTAAAGAGAGAGATAGAGAGAAGCCGCTGCTCTGAGGTGTAGGTGCGATGAGCCTCACTGTACGGATGAGGACGGAAGGCGCGGGGAGTTTCAGCACCCTGCCCCTCCGGCAGGTGTCAATTTCGAACCCACTCTGGTCCGAAGCCTGAGTGCATTCCTTCTACATGATGCCAGGCAGCGCCGTCCAAGCGCTGTGTGTACTCACACAGCACCTCGTTCAAGGGCTTTAAGTGGAATGGGACCAATTCAGTCCACCCGAGGCGCTGGTCCGAACGCAGATTCCTGCCCCAGGCGAACAAAATCGGATTGTCAGAGGCAGCCCCGGGAATCTCCCTTCTAAAAGCTTCAGGAGATTTGGGGGGACAGCCCGTTGTGGGGGGCGGGTCGCTGCAGGCACCAGGTGAGGATAACCAGGCGCTGGAAGGGAGACGGCGAAATAATCCCTTGTCTCAGAAGTGTCACGTAGCACCAACTCCCGCTATTGTTGGACTCCGATGCTGGACCGCACAAAGTCGCCTGGGGCTCAGTTCCCTCCCCTGAGGCGCTGAAAAGCGAGGGACTAAATAAATGACTGGTGGCTTTCCACTCACCAGGTACGGGGCTTGACCGGCTGAAGCACAGCACGCCCCTGCCACACCAGGGGGACACTGAACTGAGCTATAGCGTACGTACTATTTATAGGGTATTTCTGGGCCTCACCCTAAGGACTTCTGATTGGCTTTAGGGGAGATCTATCACTCATCTTTTGGGTTCGAGGTGGGTGGAAGGTCAACCGAGACCAATACAAAACCACTCCTCGGCTAAGCCCCTCCTCATCTAGCTTCCTCTTGCTGTCCATCAACCACCTGGTGGGCGGGACTTTGCCTCCCGCCAATTGGCTGGCGAACATGTCGTTCACTCTTCAGTAGGTTTCCGGTTAGTGCCTTCTAGCGTCCATCAGTGACATTTCACGGGTCGATTGGCTAAACCAACGTCGCTCTAGACGCTCCTCTTTGATTGGTTATTGGTGCTGTCGGTCCCCAATGTACTGAACTCTTATTGGCGAACGCTGCCGTCGCTCGGGCGGTGGCGGGCTCCGGGATTGGCGGGTGCTGGGCGGGCGGTGTCAGGCTCTCGGTGGCGGCGGAGGCGGCGGAGGCCAGGGAGGAAGATGTCGTAATGAGCGGTGGGTCCTGGCCGCTGCCGGCGGGGTCTTCCCGGCCCCCAAGGGTCGGGAAGACGGGCAGAGGCCGCAGGGACGGGGAGCCGGGGCTGGGGGTTCCCCCCTGGGGCCGGGCCTGGCCCCGGGGCCCGGCTCCGGGAGGGGCGGGGGAGGGAGGATTCCCGCCCGGAGGAGGAGCGGGGCTGGCCAGCCGGGCGGAGGCACCCGGAAGGGGGCGTTCGACTCCCCGCCCCCTCGGAGCCCGCTGGGCGGGAGGGTGGCGCTTCCGGGGGCTGGCGAGAGGTGCGGGCAACCGGGCGGGCCTGCCATCCCCTCCGCCCGGTTGCCGACCCGCCTCGAGTGCTGCCCGGCCCGTGGACGTAGCCTGGGTCCCCCCCGAGGAGGTGGCGGACGCTCGTAGTCCTTGCCGTGTGTTGGGGGGACCCTTCTGCACTCTGACTCCGGGTGCCCACCAGCGATCAGGGCCCTTCCGAGTGCAGAGAGAGGCAAGGGAATGCTTGAAATGCAGACGGCGCCAACCACATGGGCACTCCTGGGCATAGAACCCAACCTGGTTCCCGATGTGCACCAATGGAGAGATGGTGTCAGGACACGACAGCACCCCCTAGGACAGATGACTTCTCGCCTTAGATTGCGGAGTGGGCAGAAACCTCCGTTTAATGTTTTTAGTTGAGTCTTTGAGCACCAGCTAAATAATGCAAGCTCTTAGCCTAATTGTGGGCCGTTTAAGAACTTGTTGACAAAGAGTTCCCAGCCTGTTAGCTGATGCTCCGTGGGGGGACTGCTGATTTCCAAAAGCCAGGTGCAAACCTAAGGGATGACAAGAGAAATAAAATAAAACAGATACTTACTTTTTTCCTCCACCCTACCTCCATCCCCATTGCTGACTTAATGGTTTTCAGCCTCCTATCCTGCTTCTTGGCTTATGTTCCCAGTGGCTTTCTAATTAGTTCAAAAAGAACTGTGTCTTTTCTGGGCAATTGAGAAGCCTGTCTTCAGTGCATTCCTTGTTTTTTATTCCAGTATATCCTCATGTTTGTTTCTTAATTAACTTGGTCTAGAGGGACTCCCTCTGGCTTTTCTCAGTGCACATTCTCCCAAAGTTTGTTTTTCTTGAGTTTACTTCTTGTTCACTTGTTGATTCCTAGAGAAAAGGAGGGAGGAGCTAGAGATCTGCTTTAAGCAATGAATTGGCTCATGGTCCCCCGTTACACTGATTTTAAAGGATGATTTACAAGTGATGAGTGTTTCAAGGTACACTAGCATGCACTAGCTAAAACTTGCATGCTCTAACCCAGAAGGCATTCAGTATCATAATGGAGGACTAGATGTTGAGTTGTGTTTTGGGTAAGATGTTTAGGGTGTTGGTCAGTTCACAGAGAGGCTGTTAGAGGAACAGTGGTAGAGTCCACACCATAGAAGTAATTTTGATTAATAACACAAAGATACGTGTTGTCTGCAATAATGAATGTAACTGCAGTGTCTTATATTGTTTTAAATTCTTGTGTGTGATGAAGGGGGCGAATCTGTCAGACAACCTTGCAGTTGGGCTGATGATGTCAATGTTCCAGTGGCTTCTAACAGGCATTAATACCTGTTGGAAATGGATTCTCATTGGCTGGGGCAATTGGTAAGTTTTCTAATTCTGGTTCTTCCACTTGGTTGTACAGAGGCTTAACCTCTTCATTTGAAAGCAGCAACAAGGAAAAAAAAAAAAGCTGGTATGACGTAGTTTTATGAACCCCTTGAGCTAAAGACACAGTGTCTTTGTCAAGGAGTCCCAAGTGGAGTTAGTTCATAATCAGATCCTCAGCTGACTGCCCAGTAGGGAGAACTGGCCCCTGGAGGAAGAGTTTGCATCAGTGTTGACAGCACATGGGACTGGCCAGGTTGCTTGGTTAGTTGGTTGGTTGGCTGGTTTTTCTATTAGTTTGGGCCTCTGGAGGCCTGTCAGAGGAGAGAGGAAGCTGTGAAAAGATTTTGGCAAATTATCTGGGTCAAGGAGCTTCAGGGCATAAACAGCAGATAGGGTGGTTCATTTGGATATCTTGGCCTCAACTTCCTCCTTCTGTTGATTAGTAGTAGCCCTCTGGAGAAGCTGGAGAGTCCCTGTAGCCTGAACCGTCCTTTGCTGTAGGCATGTGATAATTCGAGTCTGCTTTAAGCAAGTATTGCCCATCCAGGGCCCTTACGAAGACATTCTAAACTTGTTGCTGCCAATCAGTAGAGCCTGGTATTGGCTTGAGTTCAGCAATCTTCTAGACTTTGTCACCCCATTTCTATGATGGACATGTAGCATGTTCTTTTATTGACTAATCTTCGCTCCCTCTATTCTCTGTTTACACACGCATTGGAAGCCTTGTTTCCAAGGATTGAAAAATGTAATTATTTTGGAGGGGATGGGCAATGGCCACAGAATGAAAGATACAGAGAAACACTGCTTTAAAGCATGTATAGAGTATTAGAAAGTGTAGAGACGTGAACACTTCTGAGATTAAATCGTTATATGTGGTCCAGCTGAAACCTTGAGGGCTGAAGACTTGAAGTAAAATCTATTTGGAGAAACTCCAGTACTTTCTTATGAGTTTATTGGGTGATACATCTGTTCCTTTGGGTAGCTTAACTGGATTAGGGAACTTCTAGTAAGTTCTAAGCTAGGAAAAGTGGGCCTACATGCTGGACCAAATTAATACAAGCTGGACTGAGAAATGGACCTCATGATGGAATGCATTTGTTGATGTTTTTGGTTATTTGTTTTTTGCTATGAATTAAGAAGGTAAAAACATGCAACACTACCAACTCAAAGGCATTGTCAGCCTAAGTAGGGAAGGGATTAGAGATCGCCCTAGAAGAGATGCCTCTAGGTGGTACTGGTAGATTTGTTCTAGTTGACAGGATTCCAGAATGGAAAACTGATTTTTCTGTTGCCTTAAGGGATGCTGGAAAGAGAACCCAGGAGCAAGGCAGCCTGCACTCGCTGCTGGGGGGAAGCCACGGCGTCGACCACGTGTGTAGGAAGTGCTCTTTCTGAGTGCTCCCAGGCCACCACGGACACGGGGTGGGGGGGATTACTGTGCTTCTCATCAGGGCGGGCTCTGGGGAGACGAGCTCTGCTCAGGAGCAAGAGAGAGGGAAGAGGCTGAGTGTCCAGTTTAGAGGTTGCTCAGTCTGCACCCATGAACCACTCCGAGTCGTGCTGAGATGTCACGGCTGTTCGTGTCACGGGAAGAGCCTGCGCGCAGGCCCCCCCTGTTTGAATGCTTCCTCTGGAGACCTCATTCCCTTCGCTGCAGTTTATTTCAGCCTCAGAATCACGTACTCTACCTGGCCAGGAGCCTCACTGCATCGCAGTGCCTTGGTGTAGCTTGGATGACTGGTGTTTTGATTCTGAGGGCTCTGAGATGCCGATTTGTTGTTACGCCATGCTTTAGGCCGTTAGGTGGCCTCTTTCATCTCAGCTCTGGGGTGAATGCGGCCCAGGAGCCAGCAGCAGGCACTGGCCTGCACCCTGCCAAATGTCCTCTTTCTAGAACTTCCTCTTCGGGGTATTTGTTACCTCTCCTCTGAGGCTCGTGGAATCACAAAGCGGCTTCTCAGAGACAGCAGGCAGGGCCATGTGATTGGAAGGGGAATATTTTTGCCCCTGGTCCGTGTCTAACCGAAGTCTTCTCAGATTGGCCTCAACACAGACTGAAACCTTTCTGAGCCTTCAGAACAGTAAATGGTAAGGCGGCTCTCTCTTCCCCAGGGAAATGAAGTCAGCCCTCAACTCAGAACCAATCTGCGCCCGGGATGAATTCAGGAGTGACTCAAATAAATGTGCTAAAGCAGAGAAAACGTGTTTGTACAGAATGCACTTCTAGGGGGGAAAAACTGTATCTTGCTTTCTTTTTTTTCCCCTTCCCCAAGACAGTTGTGAGGTCAGTATTCTTTGCACCATTTCCTGGGGCTGCTCTGTCAGAGTGGACTTTCCACCACTGACCTCGCTGCCCTGGGTCCCCACACTCACTTCTCCAGAGCCCCTTCTAGGACCGCTGGGTATGACCCAGGCAGGATGCAAACCAGCAAATGACAGACGTTTGGAGGAGAGGATTTCATAGAGCAGGTGCTGTAATTATCTGAACTCATTCGGAAAAGAACACCACCCCCCCCCCCCGCCCCAGCCATGTATTTAAATCAAAAGAATCATTGAAATGTGGTGCCTGGTGTGTGGTGAGGAGGTGTGGGCTTGGAGATATTTGTCCAGGAGCAGGACTGGCCGGTGCTTGTCTGCACACAGGCACTTGTCCCCTCGTGAGGTGACTGGCAGCTTGACAGTTTCATCTGGGCCTGCGTCAGCTGAGCTGAGCTGGCAGGTGGATCCCAGCCTTGTGCCAGGACACGCACATCTGTGGGTTTTCTCTTGTGGTTCTTAAACTCCACTGAGGCTGTCCCACTCTGCAGCCTGGAGGTTTCATTCATTAATCCATTCAAAGAGAATATACTAAGCACCGACTGTGTGCTGGGTGGGAGGGACACATCAGTAGGTAAAGCAAAGGGAAATCCCTGGCTTTGGGAAGCCGACATCTCAGTGGGCCACGAAGTAAGTAACTGCTCGGTATGAGATGATGGGAGGTGCTAAGGAGAACAGAACAGAGGACAGAAGAATGTGAAAGGGTGCGATTTTCATAGGGTGGTCAGGGAAAGTTTCAGTGAGGAGGTGACATGGGAGTAAAACCAGACAAGGGAGAGAGTCAGCCATGCTCAGTCCGGGGTAGGGGGCAGAGGGTGAAGGAGAATAGCAAGTGCAAAGGCCCTGAGAAGGGGCCAGACCTGGCATGTTGGGAAACCACAGGGAGGCGAGCATGGCTGAAGCAGTGAAGGGGAGTGACGGATAGGTCAGAGGGGTGACAAGAGACAGGTCACGTAGGGCCGTTATGTGTCACGGTGGGGACTTCGGTTCGAACTTTGAATGGGAGAGGGGATGCTGTTGGTGGAGCTCTGAGCAGAAGAGTACCATGACGTGTGGATGGGTCTCATTCTGATTGCATGTCGAGAATAGGCTGATGGGAACAATAGTCAGAAGCCTAGCTAGGAGGGTTTTGCCCTTAACCAGGGGAGACATGATGCAAAGACCTGAATCTGGGTGATAACAAGAGGTGGTGGCGAGAGCAGTCAGATTCTGAATATATTTTGAAGGTAGAACCAAAAGGGTCTGCTGACTGTCAGATGTAGTGTGTGGGGGAAAAAAAGAAGGGGCAGGGATGACTTTCAGGGTTTTTAGCACCAAACTGCTGGAAGGACGGAATTCCAGCCACCGCATGGGGAAGTTTGAAGGAGACACGGAATTAGGACGGTATCAGGGGCTAGATTTGAGATGCTTGTTAACATGTCCACGTGGAGATGTCAGTAGGCAGTTGGATTTACAAGTCTGCAGGTATAAATTTGGAAGTCATCACTGTATAGAACCTATGTATTGTTGGTTTTTTTAAAGCTGTGAAGCTAGATGAAATCACCTAGGAAACAGGTGTAGACAGAAGGAAAGTAAATGCTGAGACGGCACCCTGGGGCCACGCAACCAATTAGAATTTGAGGAGAGGAGGACCCAGCAAAGGAATCTTTGAAGAAATAGCTAGAGAGGCCAACCTGGCAAGTGGGTCCTAGAAGCCAAGTGAAGAAAGTTTCAAAAAGAGGGGTCCGCAGTCAGATCAACACATAGAATGAGGCCCAAGAATTAACTGTTAGACTTAGCAGCGTGAGGTCACTGGTCGCATGAGCCGTTTATGTGGCGAAACCTGGAGCAGTTCCAGGAGTGGCAGGAGAAGAATTCGGGACAGCAATTATGGGTAACTGGAAAGGGATTTTGCTTGCAAAGGAGAGGAATAATGGAACTTAGCTGATGTAGGGAATTTTAGCTTCTTAATGAAATTGTGGGCCCCCATAAGGGTCCTGGACTGAGGCTGGGGTCAAAGTTGAGCACAGGGAAGACACTATGGCTCCTGAGGTGTCTGGGTGGTGACAAGATCTTTTCCACCTTCCTCCTCTGGCCTGAGGCATTAGCAAGCAGCCACTTACAGCTGTCCTCCTGAATTGGAAGTCAGTGAAGTTCCTTTTACTCTTACTGAGCTCTTCTGTGTGGTTATTATGCTAGAGACTTGCTTCTCAGCACTTTTGAGTCTTTAACTACCAGTGTTGCTCCCTCCAGGAGGCCACTTCTCTTAGCTCATTTAGAAACGCCTTTGGAGCTCCAACTTTGTTCTCTTAAACCAGCCTCAGCTTGCTTTTCCCTTACCGGCTCTGAATTCTTCCAGGCCAGGCAACTGGGAGAGACTGGGCTTAGAAACTCTTCTGTTGGCTTCCGGCCCAGCTGAGCTGACCAAAATAGCCAGCAGAAGGGCTGTTTGTGCAGAGTGAAATTCCTCCAGGGGAAATACCATAGCGCATGGCCAAGAAAGCCATGGTAGGAACCCATGAGGCAAAGGAAAAAAAAAAAAAAAAAAAGGCAGTACCCCCGAGGTCTGGCTATGGCGTTTGACCGGAGTTCTCTCCAGAGGGAAAAGAGCTTCCTAAAGCCTATTGTGGTATTTCTTAGGACCCCTTCTCTCATTTCCTGCATCTCAGGAGTAGTGCTCCCAAGTGAAAGGCCACTGGAATGGCCCCCAGTCTGATGGCCAGGGCTTCAGCATCCTGTCTGAGGCCTCTTCCTGTTACTGGTGCTCCCAGCCGGCCCAGGGGAAGATCTGTAGGACAGATACCACTCCCTGCTCTGTGACTGGGGTGAATGCTGTGAAGGGGGCTGTGAGGCCTATACGCTGGCATAGAACAGGGGCACCTGACCCAGACTTGGGGGCTGGGAGGGAAGAGGTCAGGAAGGGTTTTACCTGAGTTATAAACCAAGCTCTAAGGACCACAGATGGCTAGATAAATAAGGGAGCGCAGACTTGGGCTCCAGGTGAGAGAGGGCATGTTACAGTTCCAGAGATAGAAAACACTGACGTGCCTGTGGGGAGAGTTGGAAGAGCACAAGATAAAGGAGAGGTAGAGGGGGGAAGGGCAGATTGTTTTGGCTTTACAAGCTTATCATAAGATCTTCTGGAAGCTATTGAAGGGTATAATCAGGGGAGTGGCTGGATGGGATTTGCATTTTAAAGATTTCTTCTGACACTGCTAGTGGAGGCTGGATTACAGTGGGCAAGGCCTGAGCCTGGGAACCCATATTGAAGGCCTTGGGCCATATTCCAGGCCAAGCAGAAGGTGGTTAGTGCCAGGGTAATGGCAAAGGGGATGGAGAGCTGTGAGTGGATTGGAAAGAGGTTTATATTTAGGAGGTAGAGTCATGAGGACTTGATGAGTCACTAGCGATGAGGATGACGTTCAGGTTTCCTTGTGATTAGAAATACCAGAGAGAGGCTGGTTGAACCAAAGGCTCATCCAGCCTGCCGGCGCTGAACGGCCGTTGGGTTGGGTGCTGGGCACCCACACAGCAGTGCTGGAAAACTGGCCGGGCCCATCCTGGGCACCCTCCTGTGAACATCGATAGACTTTAAGCCCGTGATTATTTCAAGGGTGGGGAGGGTTATCAGAGGGCTTAACCTCCCCTCAGGGGTCTGAGTAAATGACAAAGTGCATTCGAGTGGGCTCTCCAAAAATTTCGGTGGGAACAAACCAGCCTGAGACCCGAAGGGTGGGTAGGTATTAGTTAGAGAAAGGAAAGGACAGCAGCAGAAATGCCAACTGCAAGGATCTGGAAGAGGCCTGTGGAGGCTGGGGATGAGAAGGCAGGGGAGAGAATGGGCAAAGGTGGCGGCCCAGTGGGGGCAGTCCTGTGGCATCCAAGCAGAAAGCCCCCAGAGGGCTGGATGTCCCTGACTGCCACTCGGGAGACGGGGGCCACACACAGACCCAGGAGTCCTCAGTCTGTGGACAGTACCTGAAGCCTTGTGCGTGGGCATGGTCACTCGTGGAACGGGTATTGGGTGAGAAGGAGGGGTGTTGAGGAACAGCAGTATTGAAGGATGGCAGAAGGAAGACGAGCCCACAAGGGGAAGAGGAGGCTGGAGAGATAAGAGAAGACCGTGGGAATTTTGAGGAGGAAATAGTCAAAGGGTCAAGAACTGGTAAAGAGGTTCTGTTGGGTCTTGGTGACCTGGGCAGGAGCCAGGTCGGCAGGAGCCGCTGCTCTGGGAAATGAGCAAGTGAGGAAGGAGGGCAGCGGTAAAGTGCTGGCAGCTTTTCCACCAAGTTGGCCAGGGAGGGAGGGGAAGAACTGGCTGTAGCTGGAGGGGATGGTGGTGGAGATGGATGATCCGTCCACAAAAAGCCACAGGCTTGGGGTGGCGGAGAGGATGCCTTTTCTGCCGGTATTGGAACTAAACTGGCTTCCAGTATGGGGGAAGAAAAGGTGGGTGGTGCCATCAGACCCTAGACCCCACCCCCAAACCCCCTGGAAGCCTTGCTTGATGCCCCTGGAAGTTTCCTTGGAGCCAAAGAGAGCTACTCTTACTTTTGTAATAAGTCATGGTAAATCTTCACCAGCCAAGGGACTGTTGGGAAAGTTTTAGCCACTCTGAATTAATGAAAAGTCCGAATGACTGAGCTCTGAAAGGAGTGCAGCTTTTCTTTCAAGAATACTCAGTAAATCCCACTTACCGTGTTGCTAAATGTAGGTTTTGGTGACCGGATATAAACTGTTAAAAGCAAATATAGTAACGGTTAAAATAGTAGAAGTGGCATAAAACAATTGCGCGATGATGCCCAGGGGTCCCTTTGCAGTTTTCATACACTAGTTAGCCTCGCTGTGAATAGTACGAAGACAAATTTAAGCACAATTTATGTCCAAATTACACGTTTAAATACAAAGTTCCAAATTAATGAGGTTCAAAGTGCCTTTGATCACAGTCTTGCAGTTACCTATCTGCGCTCCTTCTGAACCACTTTTCATTTTCAAACACCCAACTGGAAATGCTGCTTTTTTCCCTTTCATGGTTAATCCCCGGATATAATTCTGCAATGACAGGGAGATCAGTCTCTGCTTTGGTTGCCCAAGCCGCAGCCCAGGGGCCGCAAAGCTCAGAGGGACACTCGGAGAGATACTTACAAACATTGGTTTGAGAGCAAGAGGGTTCTTTCAGGAGCCGGCTGGGGAGGAAAATGAAACCAAACAGAAAAGGTACAATGTCAGCCCCAGCAGTTCTGGCCGCTTGCTTCAGTAAATGCTGCTTTAACTTCCTAACTGAAGAATCGCTCTGATCCCAGCCCCATCTCCAAACTGATTTTGAGTCCAGGGTAAGGACGCCTACAGGGGGAGAGAGGAAGATGGGAAAGGAAGTTGAGTAAGAACCATGAGGCCCGTTTTCATTTCATCGCACCCTGCTCTGTGCCCTTCTGTTTCCTTAGCGGAAGGTATCTGCAGGAGGGTCAGTCCCCCATTTTAGCTAAGGGGAACCCGAGTCCAGGGGTGCCTCCTGGGAGAGCCCCTGGCTTCCCTTCCCAGACTTGGCCGCAACTAACTCAGCTTGTGCTTTTAACAGCAACATGGTCTGAGAATTAAAAAAAAAATCTTAAAGATCATCTAGTTCTGCTTCCCACCCCATCTAGACCTCCCCATCTCCAGCAGAAACACACATCCTGCCTCTGTCTAAACGATACCAGAAAAGGGAGAACATGACCTCAAAAGGCAACTGATGACATTTTTTCAAAGTTCTCCCTTCTGTTAGTCTGCAATCTGCCTTTTTTTTTTTTTTAAGATTTTACTTATTTATTTGACAGAGATCCCAAGTAGGCAAAGAGGCAGACAGAGAGAGAGGAAGGGAAGCAGGCTCCCCGCTGAGCAGAGAGCCCACGGGGCTTGATCCCAGGACCCTGGGATCATAACCCGGGCGGAAGGCAGAGGCTTTAACCCACTGAGCCACCCAGGCACCCCTGCAGTCTACCTTTTTAAAGCAGACTCTGCATCCAACATGGGGCTCAGACTCACAGCCCCGAGATCAGAAGTCACACCCACTCTCTGCTGGGCCAGCCAGGCACCTCAGAGTCTGCCTTCTTGACGTCTCCACCCTTCATGAAGTCTTTGAACCAGCGATGGGATGAATGCCCTGGTGGGTGTCACTAGTCCTGGCACACCATTGCTGCTGTCCTCTGAACAAGCTCCAATTGAAAATGCCCCTTTCAAAATATCCCTCAGAACGAAACCTGACACTCCAGATGTGACCCAAATGTGCAGAACACACTAGGACGATTTTTTTATTCCTCCATGATTGAACTTTCTGGGAATGCAATCCCAAAATTACAGTAGAGTTTTGGCAGCCACATCTAGATTCTCTTGTCTCGCGTTTAGCTTTGAGTCAAACCCACTGGGGCTTTTTCACAGAACCACTATTAAGCTCTGTTGTTCCGTCCTATATGTATGCAAGGTTTTTTTTTTTTACCCCAAGTGCAGGATGTACTCAACTTCAAAGTTTAAACCACTATTTAGTGATCACCCACCGTGTGCTCGCTGCCTCTGTAGTAATTATTGATACCTGCCAGGATCCCAGGAGGGTGCTGTTCCCTCTGTCCTGTAGATGGCACAGCCTGAGAGGGGTGCCCCAGCCACCCCACGGATGACGGAATGGCCCAACTCTCATTTAGGTCTAGAGCTTTGTGCTCCAAAGCACTGCACCTACTAGTTTTTAAAGATCTCTCAGAACCCTCATACAGACAGCCAGTGTTCTTACTATCATCCTTCTCTGTTTTGTGACATCTGCGAGTTGAACTTTGCTTGGTCTTCGCCTGGTTTTCCAAGCTTGGGTAGTGGATCGGCTACTCTAAAGCCGCATTTTCCATTCTCTAGGGCACAGAACCAATTGAGTGAGTCACTACCAGCATTTAAAAAAACGAAGTAGAGTAGAAAAATACCGAAGCCCATCACACATAGTAAGAGCAGATTGTATTTCAGGAGACTCACCGCGTGAGCCCAGGACAGGACGCGTGTGGGTGTGCACACACTGGGTCCTCACGTAAACTGTTTTTATAAGTGTGGTTGTAAACTGTTTTTATAAGTGTGGTTCATGGTCTAAATGGTTGGAACGCCATGGCTCTAAAGGAAAACTATTTTTGAGTCAACTTAGATCGTTTCCATTATAATGCTGCAACTTTACTTAATTATGCACGCAAATCTGTTTATCAGCTCCTTGACCCAGCTGCTATAAAATTAAAGAACTACCAGATAAGCCAGGAAAAGTCCCAGCAACAGCCCCATTCTGGGCGGGTGACATTTGAATGAATCCGGATCACTGTTGTCAGCATCAGCACGGCCGACTTGACACTCAGGCTGCTTGAGTTTCTCGCACACCTACCCTGCAGTGTCCCGTGCCAAGCAGCACACCCCTGCCACGCTTCTTGAGAGCCATCATCCCTCACTTTGCACAAATATAGCATGAGTTAAACATGCAGAATTAAGTTGTCTTAATTAGCCCACGCAGTCAGTGGTGCCACTTGGCACCAGTACAGTTGTAAATACACACACACACACACACACTCCGGCCCCAAAACACGCAAAGCTTGGTAAAGAGCAGTCACCCAGCGGATGTTCGTCTTTAAAAGATGCCCATCAAGGTGATAACACAAGAAGAAAACATTCTGGCAGAAAAAGCACGCGGCTCCAAGGAGAAGCTGCAGACCCTCGCCCTGGGATGCCCTCCACAGTCTTGAGACGCCCTGGCTGCCCTGGCAGCGGCAGGTCCCTCAGCACGCACCAATCTCAGCCCTTTTAGGGGGAGGCACATCGGGCTTAACCCCCAAATGAGACCATCCTGCCTGCAGTTTTGTCCCTTTGCGTTCTTTTAAGAATATTATGAAGATTTCATTCAGATGCCTTGTTGAAATAAAGACCACGGTCTGTACCTTCCCCTTGACATCCACGCGAAACCCCATACACAAAACCCCAAGACACAGCGTGACTCCGCTTTCGCAGCCCCGTACTTATTCCTTACGGTCATTGTTTCCTCCAGGATTTGTAGTGTGCTGTTTGCTCATGCGTTCTCGGATTTGCCAAGGATCAGTGTCTGTCATATTTCAGGATCTTCCCTATACGATTTTGTCTAGAGCTGCCCTTCGGCTTCTCACACAGTTTATTTCTCTGAAATAATAACCTTGTTTTCTGTACTTCCCGAAAGCTACTTTCCGAAGGTTTCGGATGCAAGTCTCACTGCCTGATGATTGATGAGCTACAAGATGGCATAGATTCTGCCCCCAAATTCTCAGGATTTCCATTTTACTTCTATTTCTCTTATATCAGATTTAAGTTCAGAGTAGAGATTCCCTTCATTACTTCCTCAACATTCTTTATTTTTCTTTATTAAAAAAAAAAAAGGCAGAATAGAGTATATTGATGGTGGGAAAATGAGAAAATCCAGAAAAACCAGGATAAAAAATTCTTAAGTCAAGCAAAATTCTACCCCCACAAAATAATGGGTTTTAGCAGTTCAGCATTTTCAAAGACTTTTCCTGCCGTGTTCACATCTAGAAATATGTACACATTTAACAAAAATAGAATTTACTCTATTTTCATTCTTGTCATTATATTCAGTTCTAGTCTTGGTGAAGCCTTTGGGGGCCGTACCTGTTATCCTACGTAAATTCACTTAAAGTGGTTACCCATGTGCTGAAGATCGTTACCTGGGCCGCGGGGCTTTTGTGGTGAAGGCCAAGTGCATAGTACCTAAGACTTCCCCACGGAGCAGGCGTGTCCTTGTCAGGGATCCTGGCTGAGAGACGCTTCTTTCCCAGGCTGGCTTGGCTTCTGGCTAGAGCAGAAGTGAGCAAGAAGCTTGGGTTAGAACTAGAGGATTAACCGGAGTTGCTGCACCAAATAAGGATTCCGACCTAGCTAGAGAGAGTCAGCAGTACCCCGCAGAGACAGCTCCCTTAGGTCACTGAAGCTGGTCTTGGCAAAGTCTGGGATGTTTGCGTTCTCCCAGGCTTCGTGATGGCTGGGGACGGGACCAGCTGCCCTCACAGCCCGGGTCAGACAGGTCATTGGAGGGCAGAGGTCATCCACTGAACAAGATGGGAGGTGTGAGGAAAGGTTAACCTCTCAGAGAAGCAGCAGCAGAGAGAGGCACAGAGGGGATCTGAGGCCAGTGGGCCTGGGTTCCGTGGGTGCATCGTGTGCATTAGTCCGTCTTTTCTTCCAACAGATCCACAGACCAGCATGGCTGCCACTGCCGCTGTCAGTCCCAGTGACTACCTGCAGCCCGCCGCCTCCACCACCCAGGTGAGCGGGCAGCCGGCACGGAGGGCTGGGGGTGGCATCAGCCTGGAGGCACTCACTGAAGGTGACAGCAAACCACAGCTGGAAACTCTGTCCTGGCTTGCTGTAGACACCCTGAACCGGGAAGGCTGGGTTGTCTCCTGTTTCTGAGCTGAGAAGCCAGGGCCACTTACCAGAGGTGGCACGGCTGAGTCAAGGGGCAAAGCCGGATTCAACTCAAGGTCCCTTCCACCAGACCCACTGACCATAAAAGGGAAATAGAGGCTGTGTCCCTACACTCCAGAGGCTCTGTCCTGGTCGCCTCGAAAGAGCAGCCTCCCCACTTTACTAAAGTGTTTATTCTTCCCGTGACCTGTCCTGTCCTCTTTCCCTCTGTCCCCATTCAGTCCTTCCTCAGCTGAGGAATTGGGGGCCCCTTAACCCCTGTGATGGGCCAACGGACCTCTCCCTGAGAGCTGAGGATAATTCCATGACCCCCTGAAACACAAGGTTGGTGGGAAGTAAGGGTGTTCGTTCACCCTGTCACGGGGCCTTCTGGAGAGTTCTTCCTGAGAAAGACATTGCCTACCCTCTCTCCCTCAGAGAAAGAGGAGCCAGCAGGGAAGGGAATGATGGCGGCACTGTGCCTGCCACAGAGGCGGCGAAGAGTCTGCCGAGAGGAGAGGACTGTGAAGGGCAGAGGGGGTGGCTGGGCAGCAGGTTCATGGCTCACTTCTCCTCCGCTTGTTCTCCCGCAGGATTCCCAGCCATCTCCTCTAGCCCTGCTGGCCGCAACATGTAGCAAAATCGGCCCCCCGGCAGTGGAAGCTGCGGTGACGCCTCCTGCTCCCCCCCAGCCTACGCCACGGAAACTCGTCCCCATCAAACCTGCCCCTCTCCCTCTCAGTCCTGGCAAGAATAGCTTTGGAATCTTGTCCTCCAAAGGAAATATCCTCCAGATTCAGGGGTCACAACTGAGTGCGTCCTACCCTGGGGGGCAGCTGGTGTTCGCTATCCAGAACCCCACTGTGATCAACAAAGGGACCCGATCGAGTGCCAATATCCAGTACCAGGCGGTCCCGCAGATACAGGCGAGCAACTCCCAGACCATCCAGGTCCAGCCCGGTCTCACCAACCAGATCCAGATCATCCCCGGCACCAGCCAAGCCATCATCACCCCCTCACCATCCAGTCACAAGCCCGTCCCCATCAAGCCAGCCCCCGTCCAGAAGTCGAGTACGACCACCGCCCCTGTGCAGAGCGGGGCCAATGTGGTGAAGCTGACGGGCGGCGGCGGCAACGTGACACTCACTCTCCCCGTCAACAGCCTTGTGAACACCAGCGACTCCGGGGCCACCACTCAGCTCCTCACGGAGAGCCCCCCCACCCCGCTGTCTAAGACTAACAAGAAAGCCAGGAAGAAGAGTCTCCCTGCCTCCCAGCCCCCCGTGGCCGTGGCCGAGCAGGTGGAGACGGTGCTGATCGAGACCACCGCGGACAACATCATCCAGGCGGGAAACAACCTGCTTATTGTTCAGAGCCCCGGGGGTGGCCAGCCAGCCGTGGTCCAGCAGGTGCAGGTGGTGCCCCCCAAGGCGGAGCAGCAGCAGGTGGTGCAGATCCCCCAGCAGGCCCTGCGGGTGGTGCAGGCGGCATCTGCCACCCTCCCCACCGTCCCCCAGAAGCCCTCCCAGAACTTTCAGATCCAGGCGGCTGAGCCCACGCCTACTCAGGTACCACACGCACCCTCTGCGCCTGCCTCCCGCTCATACTGTGTTCCCCCTGGGCTTGCTCAGAACAGGTTGTGGATGCATCCAGGTTGACCTGAGTGCTGGGAGTCTGTGACGTCTGGGGTGGGCGGTGAGGGGCCATTTCCGCCGACATACTGGGTCTCTTCGGTTCAGACGGTTCTAGACAGCTCATCCTTAGAAATCACATGAGACGTCCCTCTACACCTGTATTGCGGTCCGCTTTTTCTTTTTGGGGGGAAGTCTTTTTTGGAGGGTGGGTGGGGGCAGATACATACATTTTAATAATAAAATCTGCTTTTTACGATAGAACTACAGACTCAGAACGGTAGCAAGAATGAAACAAATCTCAGGCAGAACTGTAGAATTTGATTTAAAGCAAGAAAACAAAGGAGACAGATTCCGGTCATTGTTAATGGCAAGGAAAAAAATAGGAAGACACAGCCCAGCTTGATGGCAGGAACACTTACGCTAGATTCATCTGGGATGTTAACAGTTCAGTAAGAATATTCTTATTGGGGGCTTAGATGAAGGTGCTGGATTACTCTAGAACCTATTTGGCTCTGTGAGGCGGTTTTATTCTTTGTGTATGCCTAGTAAATGCCAGAGGTGATGCCCATGTTGCAGATGAAGAACCTGGAACTCAGGAAGTATCCAAGAGCTTATGGGGCACGGATGACAAAAGCCAGGATTCAACTCAAATTTCTGACTTCAACCCCCACGCTCTTTTCCACTTTTTACGTTGACTTACTGTTTTTCGCTAGAGTTAAAGTTGAGGACAAGGTGGTGGTAGTGGTGGTGGTGGTTGTTAAGGATCTTTTAAAATATAAGGACATAGCTCCTGCCATTGAGGAATTTATAATCCAGTTGTTTGGAGAGAGAACTGAAGCATCACGGTGAGTGACAGTGGGGAGTTGTGTCCTCTTCTGGGTGGAAATGAGATTGAGCTGTGGACAAGGAAGTCACAGAGGAGGAAAATGAGGCCTGGCCTGGAATGCCTCCTCACTCCTGGCATATTATATATTGCCAAGTGATTTTCTTTAAATTGTTTAATTTGCTTACTAGAATTCCTGTGAGGTTCCATTACCAGGCATACCTGACAGATGAGGAACTCGGGTGATGGCGGCTTCCGTGCATATCCTTCGTGGTACCTCTCCTCCCTTCCCTGAGGTCCCGCATCTTGAGATTGATGGAGGCAGGGCTTAAACCCAGGTCTTCCTAAGGAAATAATCATACATACACAGAAAGTTTTACCTATGACATTATTTCGTAAAGATGACACAGCTTTCTAATATCCTGAAGTGCTGTATATCACACAAGTGATACTACAGTTAATAACCTTACAGCTAACTAAATTCCTCAGAGTGGGGCAAAGCCTATGCACATGTTTTGGAAAGGCATTATATTCTGTATCCGAGAGGGGCAGTCCACAGCCTGAGGTCAGACCTGGCCCACGCTTCTGCTTTTGTAAATAAAGCGAAACTGGAATGCAGACGTTGGAATGCCCGTGTGTGCTGCATTCGCACCACAAGGCAGAGACCTCATCGTGACCCACAGAGTTTAAAATATTTACTGCCTGCCCTTTATAGAAAAAGTCTGCTGACCCCTGCTCTATATTATGAACAAAAAATGTTCTAGTGACAAAAACTTCAGATACACAGAAAATAGCAGTGATGTGCAAAAAAGGCACAATGAGATTGATCTGTTCATTAAGGGATAACAGGACGTTTGTTTCTTTGCTTTTAACTGAGAAACACAGTCCCAGATGACCCAGGAATTAAAAATAACCCTAATCGAAATCATAGCAGGGTTTTGGTTTTTTTTTTTAACAAATAACTTTGCTCCTGGATCATCTGAGTGTAAGTTACCACCATAATCCCTGTGACTTGCAAATGTTTTATAGAACGTGTCTCCTCATTACATGCAAGGACATTCTCCATGACAACAGTACAACCATCAGACCTAGGAAGCCGGCAATGAAACATGCCAGTGTCTTTCGTTCCCCAGTCTTCACTTGATCGGCACAACCTTGACACTTTTGAAGGCCACAGGCCAATTATTTGGAATATGTTCCTCAGTTTAGGTTATATGATGTTTCCTCATGACATGTGGGTTGTGGTTTTTTTGTTTTGTCTTGTTTTGTTTTTTGGAAATATCGCAGACAGGATACTGCGTTCTCACTGTACCTAAAGGGGTACGTGATTTCGGTTTGTCTCAGTACTGATGACAAAGTGATGTTCGCCAGATTTCTGCACCTTCTTTTCTTTGTAATGAACTAGTGTTTTGTAGGGAGGTACTTTGACATGATGTGACTATCCCATTCTTCATCAGACTTTTTCCCACTTGTTTTTAGTATCTTCTCTTGTGATAGAGATTTTCTTAAAGTTAATGTTTCATTTTAGAAGAACTTTCCATTTACAGAAGGGGTGCAGAGGTAGTGCAGACCGTGTGTTTCCCCTCTCTCTTGGTTTCCCCATTGTTAATCATCGTACGTGACCAGGTACCTTTGTCGAAATGAAGACGCTGAAATTGGCACATGGCTGTTAACCATAACTGTTAATCTATTCCACGCTTGATTTAGATGTCACCAGCTTTTCCATTTATGTCCTCTTTCTGTTCCAGGACCTGGTCCACATATCACATGTCTCCCCAGTTACCTCAGGTGATAGCTTTTGGTCCTTGTTTTCCATGATTTTGACAGTCGTGCGGTGTATTGGCCAAGTATCCTACAGACTCTCCCCCACTCCGGGGTCATGGGCTTTCAGAAAGTATGCTACAGAGGTGAAATGGCCCTCCCATGTTATATGAGGGGCACGTGCTATCCATGATGTCCTGGTGACACCCTGTCCCTGATGTTAACCTTCAGCGCTGGTTAAGGCCATGTTTGCCAGGTTGATCTTTGTTGAGAGTTGTACTTTTCTCTTTCTCTGTTCTTTGGAAGGGCGTTGCTAAGTCCCATCTTCAGGGCTGGGGATTGAACTCTCCATCCTGAAAGACAAAGTACGTCATATTACTTGGAATTCTTCTATCATGAGAAGGTTTTTTCTTCCTTGCTCAGTTTACTTTTTCAGTCATTTATTTATAGCAGTAGGGGCTCATGTGTATTTATTTTATACCTTGCGTTCTAACCCAGGACCATGTTATTTATTTTGTTGTTCACATTGTTCCGGCTTCAGCCATTTGGAGGGCTTCGAGGTTGGCCTCTGTATTCCCCGGCCTACTCCCACCTTTTCTTGTCATTGTTCGTTAAATCAGCTTTGAGATACTCACATGCTATGAAATTTACCCTTTTAAAGTGTACAAGTCAGTGGGTTTTAGTATATTCACAGTGTTGTACACCCATCCCTGCTGTCTAATTTGAGAACATTTTCATCACCCTAGAAGAAACCCTGTACCTTTAGTCGTCCTTCCTCATTTCCCTTCCCCACCCCCCAGCTCCCCTGGCACCCACGGATCCATTTTTTGGTCTCTGTGCATATACCTATTCTGGACATTTCTTTTAAACGGAATCTGACAGTAGGTGATCCTTTGCAACTGACTTCTTTCACTTAGTAATAGTGTTTTCAAGGTTCATCCCTGTTGTGGCAGGCGTCAGTGCTTCGCTCCTTGTATCTCTTAGCCCCAGCCCTGGGATCGACCGTTCTTCTTGGAGAGTGGGATGACAGTCGTTTAAGTCTGTCTTTCTCTTCTCCATTTGTTTATTTAGGTTAACAGGGAGTGTTAGGTTTCCATTTTATTCGGTGGGTTGTAATCCGTTAGTATTACGATTTTGATGTTCCGGTTATCCCCATTTGACCCACTAGTGGGCGCCTCCTCAAGCTGGCTCTTGTGTCCTTTTCCTGTGTTATCCCCGTTCCTTGAGGACCTTCTTACTTGTTGGTACCACAGGTGTTCCAGGCTTTTCTTGTACTCTCTCTGCCCCCAAACCTGGCATGAGCTCTTTTCTCCAAGGAGCCTTGGTTCCTTTTAGTGGAGCATGATATTTAGAAGCAAAGACCCGAGCGCTGGGCGAGCTCATTGCCCCTGGGGTGTTGCTGCTCCCAGCCCTTCTCAGCTGACACAGCCAAGAACTAATACACATACACATGCACATATATGTACATACATAAGGCCTGGGTGGGTGGATACAGGTGTGGACACATACATGTACACCTACATATACACACACATTTATATCTCTCTTTCCATATTGAAACCCACAAGTTTCCACAATATCTCTAATACCTTTCTAGTGCCACACACTTCATTCTAGTTTCTCCCTTTCCATATTTGTATACTTCTTCTCTGACGGTAAGAAACCTTGCTTCCTTTGGCCTCCATATATTCCTTTCTGGATCTCAGCTCTCCCACATGGACATGTCCTCGGCCCACTCGTGCCCGGCCGCTGTCATCACTGCCGCACAAAAGCCCTCTTCGTCCCATTCAGGCTCTAACATGCATACCTTGACGCCTTTTGAGACACATTCCCAAATTTCCCTCCAGCGAGCCCAGACCACCTCACACTTCTGCTCCTGATGGAAGAGTGAGTGCCTGTTTCCCTGCTGTCTCGCCAACAGTGAACATTATATTTTCTTTTTCCATCTCTGCCAATCTGAGGTGGAGGACAACTGTTTCTCATTGATCGTACCTTCTAAGAGCTGTTTTCATTTGGTGGTCATTCACGGTGCATCTTTTGTGACATTACCATTTCACTGTCTTCTAATTCTCTAATTCTGAGTGCTGGCATTGTATCTTTCCATGCTAAGTAAATTCAATGTTTGGTTTCCAGTCAACAATCAGCATTTGCTACCTCAGTACGGGGATCCCATCAGCAGCGTGAATGTAGGTCTGGGCCAGTCAGAAGAGACTTGGGTGGACCGAGAGGCTCCCCCACTTCTCTCTTGGGTGGTGCTGGGGGGGGGGTGACACTGCATTCAAAGGTACTGGAGGAGTGGGAGGCCCAGTCTGTCCTGGGGCGCTGACCCTTTTGTTCCCGCTCTTCCAGGTCTACATCCGTACGCCTTCCGGTGAGGTGCAGACAGTCCTTGTCCAGGACAGCACCCCGACAACAGCTGCAGCCACCTCTGCCACCACCTGTAGCAGCCCGGCATCCCGTGCTCCCCATCTGAGCGGGACCAGCAAAAAGCACTCGGCCGCAATTCTCCGGAAAGAGCGCCCCCTGCCAAAGATCGCCCCCGCTGGGAGCATCATCAGCCTGAACGCAGCACAGCTGGCAGCAGCGGCCCAGGCCATGCAGACCATCAACATCAACGGGGTCCAGGTCCAGGGCGTGCCTGTCACCATCACCAACACCGGCGGTGAGGGGGGGCCCCTGAGTCAGGGTGTGGGCAGCTGGCTCATGTGCCCCGCCCATGAGAACTTTGGGCCAGCCTGGGGTTCCCAGTCACCATAGCGAGGACACTACCCATCATTTGCCTGGCCCCTTCTAGTTTAAGAGTATGTCTGCTTGGTCCTTAAAACTGTAAGGACCCCAGTAAAATTGTTTAAGACACACGTTGGCCCCACCTGACAGCTGAAGGTCTTGAGTATAATGGAGAAGTAAGATGTACTCAGGAAAGCTCTCCAGCTAACCTGCCCATGCAGATTGGTTTGGTACAGACCCGAGAGAGGTGGTCAGGGGAGGTTCCAGGTAAAGGAACTTGAAAGAAGGCTTTTAGAAGGAGACAGCCTTGAGTTAAGGTGGGAAGGAGAGGATGGAGTCTCCAGCAGTGGGAATGGCTTGTCCTGCAGTTCGGTTCGGTAGTAACACTTGATAGTATTTACAGTGCAAAAGCGCCTTGCACATAAGCAAGGGAACATTGTAGTTACGGAGCAAAAATGGTTCCTTGCGCTTTAGCTGGGTGTTCTTTAACTGGGCAAAGAGCACTTTTCAAGGTAGTGGGAGCTCTCCGCATCTCCTCTCTCCATCCTTACAAATGCGTTTACTTACACATCGTGTAAGTGTGTGCACTTATACGTTGTGCGTCTGGGTTAGGGGCATGGGATGCCTCCACTCGGAGAGACACCAGTGTTAGGTCAGTCACACTCCCCCTGCTTGGGAATGGCCTTATGCAAGTGGAAAGGACTTGATTTTGTCCTGGTTTCTCACTCTTAGTACCAAAAATCCCTGGAGACCTTCCTGGGAGCAGAGTTGGTGTCTGAAGAGGGCCTGAGCTTGGAGGAGTTTCCGAAGAAACACTCCAAGCCAAGCCAAGACAGGAGCTTTCCGCACTGAAGTC